ATATATATATATATATATATATATATATATATATATATATATATATATATATATATATATATATATATATACACATACACATAAATACGTGTGTGTGTGTGTGTGTGTGTGAGAGAGAGAGAGAGAGAGAGAGAGAGAGAGAGAGAGAGAGAGAGAGAGAGAGAGAGAGAGAGTGTGTGTGTGCGTGTGTGTGTGTGTGTGTGTGTGTGTGTGTGTGTGTGTGTGTGTGTGTGTGTGTGTGTGTGTGTGTGTGTGTGTGTGTGTGTGTGTGTGTTTGTGTGTGTGTGAGTGTGTGTGTGTGTGTGTGTGTGTGTGTGTGTGTGTGTGTGTGTGTGTGTGTGTGTGTGTGTGTGTGTGTGTGTGTGTAGACATGAGTTTCAGATTTAATTCTGAATCCCTTCTTCCAGTGGTATGTGCGGAGCCCGACAGCTTGCCAGGCGTGCTGAAAGATCTTAACATAGCACTGTCCTCATTTGGTGAAAACCCGACAGACCAAGACCTTGCTGATCTTGTTTCCTGCGCTGCTCATCAAACACTAACTGTTTTCTCACAGGTAATTATATGCGGCAGACCTTTGTCTTTTTCTATTTTCATCTTCTAAAAGTCAGGCTACTTTTGCTAATACAAACAAGTTTTTTGAGTGAGGTATATATCAATGGCACCGTATAACTGGATATTCAGTTCCCTATAAAGCGCCGGTGTCTTCTTCAGGTGGCTCGGGGCAAGAAAGATCTAAGCGCTTCAGACCGAGCTGAATCTGAGCGTCTTCTCCAGCAATTGACTGGACACAGAATGGCAGGGATTGCAGCTGTTGTGTCTCAGGTGAGGTGTTTGGTGTTGGAATGATGCTTTAGATTTTTTTATCTTTCTCGCACATGTAAGAAGAGTGATCTGAATGTTTCCTCTATTCATCCTCAGAACCAAAGCTACAATGAAGCTAAAAGATCTGCTCTGGAGCTCCGTCTGTCTGAACTGACGTCCCGGCAGCAGGAAATCCAAGGTGCCCTAAGGGAAGTTCACGAGGGCAGCCTTGGTGCATAAGAACAAAACACCCGGTCGCGACACTTAGGATATGCCAGTGTCTACACTGCGTCCTTCAGCGAGGACTGGAGTTTATAATGACATTCATACTAATTTACAAACCGCATAGCTGCTGTGGCTGATGTTCGGTTAAAGCACATTAGTGCGATCTGGTTTATGAAAAAAATCAATGAATCTAGTGGCACTTTTGTAGCCTCACAGTTTACAAAATATCACTGTTATGCTTATTAAAGCTTTTTCTTTCCACTGCAGATTGGTTACACTTTTTATCATATAGTATATAGAGTTAAAATGGAAATTATCATTAAAACATAAACTTTCATTTACCTTGGTAGGAATGCAGTTCGTCTTTGTTTTGAATAGAGAGTTCTTGAGTAAAGTCTCTAATCAATTCATGTTTATATCAAAGAACAAACACGTTAAAAACTTAAGATCTAACAGAAACATCCATACTATCAAAGCATGTATATTCACAAAGCTTGCACAGACTTCTGCTGTTGATTGTAACGAACATAAAGTACGTGATAAAATGAATTGATGAAACTACTTTGTCTACATACTCACAAAATCATAAAGGGGATATCACCCATAGGCCGGTAAAACGAAATAATCAGAATTAAAATATATTTAAGTAAATACAATATTTTCCTCCCTTTCTCTTACATACATTTTCGTTCTTAGGAGACAAGTTATCATTCACTCTACAGTGAATTTTAAATTTTAGAAATAAATATAATGTCTAATACTTAAAAATGCCCATTGAAGATATACAAGACACCTGATATTGATTAAAAAACACTTCTGTGAAACTGATTTCATAAGCCTAGTAATTTTTGTTTCAGCAACAAATTGAATTATAAAGACATGAAACTGTTGGTAAAGACAAGCCCGTGACGATGGCACGCGTTACAAACATGGCTTTACGGTAGAATTGCTTTTCGAAAAAAATAGACCTGAGAGACATAAATAAATAATTAAATAAATAAATGTATTTATATATATATATGTATATATATATATATATATATATATATATATATATATATATATATATATATATATATATACATATATATATACACACACACACACACACACACACACACACACAAGCACGCACGCATGCACACGCGCACACGCACACACACACACACATGCACGCACGCACACACATACACATAAACGTATGTGTGTGCGTGTGTGTGTTTGAATACTATTGGCACTTTCATTTTTATCAAAATTATGAAAGGAAAGGTTTGTTTAACAAAGAGAAAATGGAGATCAGTAAGCAAATTGATGTTATTTTTGATCAGCGAACCCAGCTTAAAAGGAACGATTGCTGCTTAGTGTCATACATGATTTTATTTCAATTGTATCACTCATCAAATTTAGGAGAAACGCAGAGAAGTATGTGGTGATTATTTTAGAAGTTTTGATATTTTCTAAGCTTGTATTATTGGTCCGCAGATTATGAATGTATTTATGAGTGAACTGTTTTTTTGCTATAACAATATAATGAATATAAAGAAAATAATTGTCGATTTGCTGAGGGTTCCTATTTTGGTGGAGAAATACTGGATCAGTCACGGAGTTCCTTAGCTTTGGAAAGTCCAAATGAACCGGTTACTAATTAAGTATAGGTAATTCATATATTTATTGCTTACGTACGTTATGATAAATCTTGGAGGTAGAAATTTTACAAGAGAATCCGCTGAATTAAGAGTGAGATTTGGCACTCGATCTCTCTTGAGATGCCAAATGTCACTGGATAGATATATTTGCTGAAAACCGACCTGGCACATAGATAAAAAAGAAAAAGTTTCTTTCGGCCAAACGTTCCTACGGGATTAATTCGTACTTTTATTAAGCAGAACAGGTTTGGCCTCACCGTTTGGGAGTGCAGCTCTCTTAGATTAATGTATGATAATATAAAACCAACAATTAACAAATCTACATTTGGAAGGCTTTTCAAACACTGTCTATTTAGCAATGTTTGGAAATCGCATAACCGAGTTCGGATGGTATTCGTAGAAGCTTGTCGCAATCTCCTTTCACATCGTCCATGAAAACGCTCGTTAGTCACAACCGCTTTAAAACATATTTTGAAAACATTTATTCAAGTGGTCTCTACGCCAATATATGTTAATAGTATAGCATACCACTGTTTTATGAGTAAAAACACTAAGCAAATAATTTGAGTACAGAATCAAGAAATCACTCAGAATAGGTGGAATGTTATTTACACAGATGGCAAATGCTCTAAGTCATTGACTGTGACATATTACAGTTTATATTTTCACACTGTAGCAATTTCAGAATACATCTCATACAGATTATGTAATATCTCGATCATAGAACAGAAATATTAAATTAACTTAAAAGTTTAACATCTATCTTAAACTGCCTATTTAGAATAGGCTGATTTTTTTAAATTTAAAATATGCCCTTCATAAAGCTAAAAAGAAACTCGTACACACACTGTGATCGATTGTCATTATATGTTATCTTTTGTCTAACATTTAGAAAAAAAACACAAAATTTTCCAAAAGGCAATGGCCTTAGGAGGTTTCGTTTCAAATCCTCCCTTGTGTGTGTGTATGTGTCTGTTTGTGTGTGTATGTACTAGAGAAAATTGTTAACTGAAAACTGGTGTCACTTCGATGCTTAATCAGTGAGATACGAAGTAGAGGAGGTGCGAGAGGAAGTCGTGCCGAAGTACAACGAAGGCGGTGGGTTGGGGTCGATTTGTTTGGTGGCTCTTTTCTTGTGCCACAAGTAGCTCCACGCCATTAGGAGTACCACTTGGGCCGCAAGGAAGAGAGCACAAGCGACTATCACACCGGTGAAGGAGGAGCACGTTTCTTGGGCGAGGTCTACCTCAACTTCTTCCCGTCGTATCCCCGAGAATTGGAACTTGTCTTTGATACGGACGGATTGGACTACCATAATATCGGTTTCATGAACCTGAAAACAAACGTAATAATGAGACCACCAGGGAAAAAGATAAGATTCAGTGGAAATAAAAACAAAATTAAAGGAATTGATAATGAGGACCTACGACAAATAAGAAGTGTGTCAAAGAAGTGGTTTGTTTAGTTGTTAAAATGTCTATGAATATTATTTTTTTCAATATCACGACTGAAATATGTTTGCAAGATCTTAACATCTAACCACCGATAGTGTAGGAAATATATCAAATAATGCAATATAATGGACATAAAGAAATAAATGTAGCCATGGATAACTTCCCACCTCTCTCTTCTTCCTTCCATGCGACAGCTCCTTGCGGGACACTCCATCGAAACCTTGCACACTGCACTGCACAGGTTCGCAACGAGGAAGGCACGGAGTCACCAAAGCCCGAAACTGGACAATGTCTGATGCGGGAAATTTGAAGGCTTGGAAGGGTGCGTGGAGGACAGAACCGCTACCCATCTGTAATGAACATATTTTTTCCACTTAGTGTTGTAACTGCATGCAAAACATTTATTAGATAATGTATTGTGACGAAGCGTATGCATAAGTTGCCCCAACTTTCGTTTAAGAGAAGAAATGGCATTATCTAACCAATTTGAATATTTGCTCACTACTACATGCAGTTGACATCCTTGGGATACGTCATGCACTTTATCAATATTTTATTAAATGTGTATGAAATCTTCCTTTACATGGTGTACAGATCTAATCGCCTCTATGATCATCATTCTACTATGAAAAGGCGATATTACGGCACAGAACCCAAGACTCCCGCCAGCTTACGATTGGTAGTATGTTACAAACAAAGGGGGTTTGGGGAAGTAGTAAAAAAAGATGTTGACTTTCACAGCATTTCATCCAAGTGTGTGCATTTTTTTCTTCGGTTGACTTCTATATGGGGGATTAAATTCTGTTACACATCGTATTATTTTTTGTTTTTATTACAAAACCTATTGCAGAATTGTAATGAGTTTATATCAAACACACACACACACACACACACACACACACACACACACACACACACACACACACACACACACACACACACACACACACACACACACATATATATATACATATACATATATATTTGTGTGTGAGACACATATAGTTCTGGATAGTTTGATTTCTCTTTAATACATTTTCCTGTACCTGAAAATATTCATTCATATATCAAAGCAGGGCTGTCTAAACATAATTTGCAACAAAGCCATCCTACAGAAAGAAATGGTAACTTATACAGCGACAAGAGATCTAATGAGTCGGGACCCGTTAAGATTGTTAATTAAGAAATTTAACCTACCTATGGTTAAAACAGGCTATTCGGACAAGTCAGCGATTGGACAAAACAACCACCGAGAAAAGGTACTTGAACTGACCAAGGAATGGTGAATTGACGCTCCAAGCAAGCAACACACACACACACACACACACACATACACAAACACACACACACACACACACACACACACACACACACACACACACACACACACACACACACACACACACACACACACACACACACACATATACATATATATACATACTTACATATATACGTATATATGCATATATATATATATATATATATATATATATATATATATATATATATATATATATATGTATATATATATATATATATATATATATATATATATATATATATATATATATATATACATATATATATATATACACACATCCATATGTATACATATATATACATTCATACATACATTCATATATATATATATGTGTGTGTGTGTGTGTGTGTGTGTGTATATATGTATGTATGTATATATATAGCGTGAGTGATGATTAGAGTTCCCTATTCAAATTTGGAATTCAAAAAGTCGACAAAAGATAAAAATGACAATATTAATAGGTAAAGCAACTATGAGATGCCATCAGTTAGAATTCTATAGCATTTAACTAAACTAACTCTCACCATGATGCCACGTGACTATAATAACTAAGAGTTAGGAAGTTTCCTTGTGTCTTTTTAATGTAAAGCAACTTCCTTTTCAAGTAATTCTTCCATATTGATCTTTATGTTTTTCTTTTTATAATACGTAATCACTGAGAATGTCAGTGATCTGCATTCATCTCACTAAGTGATCTACTTAATTAAGCACTTTTATTCTTAACCCATTTGCGACAGGCTGTCACGTATACGTGACATGCCCACTGTGAGTTTACTTGTTTTTATTGTTTTTACACATAGTGGGTATACAATGGGGGATATAAAGAAACAAAGTATGTGCCTTACGGTTAGCAAATTGTAATGACTGCGTCGCCCGGTAAATCAAGTAATTCATGCAACTGATTTCATTAAAGTGCAGTAGCTTCAAAGTGCAAATCCATCCGTTTGCAATGTTGTACTGATGTCATTTTCGCTCTTTACACATGGATTCCCTTTTGGCATAAACTCCTATTGGGAAACTAAGGACACGTTTCTCCGTTTCTGACTGGAATAGCACCCAAATACAGCACAACACGAGTGCCCTGATAAATGACGTGATTTGACTCAACCTATGAATATACATGAGCATACATTGACTTTCTTCTCCGGAGAAAAACAAACGTGTTCGTGCACACATATGAAAAAAAACAACAAAAAAAAACGCTTAGGTATAAAGGTTGGGTTCTTTATTTTTGGTGGTAAACGGATCTGTTGTATGAGGTCGCGCTGCCGATCAGTAAGATATATGGTTTACTGAATATCGGTTATAACCTGCCAAACAATGATAACATGAAGGTCCATCTTAGTAAATGTAGGGTCGCACATGTGATAAGCTACTTTTTTCATACAGCCTACTGTCGTATAAACATCTAAAAGTCTACCAACATAATTGGTTCTTGAATATTTAAATACAGAGCGAAGAACCTCGGGATAACATGTCTAGAAGGATACATATTTTATCGCTTAATTTTGTAGGTCGGTTTTGCCACAGTTACGAATCACACAGTGAGGAGCGTATGGTTTAAAGTGGCTAATGATACGGCGGCAAATGCAAGTGAGTGAATGGGTGAGTGAGGTTTGGGAAGTCGATGCTTGGCCCGGCCTGTGTCATTTCTTTATGGCTTCTAAATTCAGTTTTAGCTCATAGGTTAAGGCTACGACATGTCCAGTGTAGTAGCAATTAAGCTGAGAAGAGAACATAAAGGCCCTGTGATATTAATGTTTTCCGCTTATGTTAAGTATAATGTGGATGATGTCAACCATGTCGAATAATTTGTGCAAATATTACAGTGCTGCTGAAGAAACATCAGCCTCTGGCATCGTGATCATACCTGCACGACTGAGGACATGATTGTAGGGTCGGTGGGGCAGCCTCTTTCATCGATAAGAAGGATTTCCGAGCTGTCCTGGCCATCCATGGCAATCAAATCCCTAACGAAAATCTCGTACGGACTCTGCTCGTCGGTGATCTCGAATCGAAGAGCCATGCTGTCTCCAACCTGCAAGATTATATGTGAAAAGGAATGAATAAAATGCTAATTATTTAGCAAGTTATGTTATTATTTCTGAATAGAAAAGCACTTATGGATGAGGGAAAAGAGCTTTCAGAGAACATATACATAAAAATAGATGTATATCTTCATTTTTTTTCCAAATACGCATATCTCTCTCTCTCATTACATATATATATATATATATATATATATATATATATATATATATATATATATATATATATATATATATATACATATATATATATATATATATATATATATATATATATATATATATATATATATATATATATATATATATATACATATATATATACACATATGTATGTATGTATGTATTAGCTTACTTGAGCTGAGAAAATGTCGTCTCCTCTCGGGGTGGTGACTCTCATAACAACATTGGGGGACTCAACGATTGTCTCCTCGAAGTACTCGGCGGTATCAAGACCTC